ATCTAGAGAATAATTCCTCAATTTTAAAGTCACTAATAGGTGAAATCCAAAACTTTAATTATTGTAAGCGCAATAAAAGTGAAATATATTATTTAGGCACCATGTTTTACTGTAATATATTGCACGAAAAATAAAAAATAAAAAACGATTAATACTAAAGCTTATTGTTACATTTTATTTATTTTCTTTTCTTAACACCACAACTTAACACCGCATATTTAATTTTTTTTTCTTAATTTGAAAATAAAATTGAAAAAAATGAAAATGAAAATTTAAAATACCAATAAAGACCCAAACGAAACTACGTAGTGGTCTATGACCCAAATTTGGTTTATTAGTTAGAACCACAAGCTGAATATAACTATAGGGAATGTGGGAGGAAGGAGTCGTAACAATGAGGTGGTCATTGACACCGCGATTACAATGTGTTTTTTGTTTGGCTGGCAGAATATGTTATACAAGTAAAGATAATATTTATAAAATTATGTATCAAAGGGGGGGGGTGACACATGGATAATTTATTCTACAAAATGACAGCTAATTTCATGAATTTAACAATTACTTTGCAACGAAAGCAAAAGAATATTTGAACACAGTGGATTTTAGAACTAATATTTTATAAAATTATGATGAAGATAATCAATATTGAAGCTCCATTGGGTCACTCTTTAAATTCGCCTCACAAATACAGAGCTAGGCACTAATAAGAAGCAGTAAGAAACAACATTGCCTCAAATATTCATCCAATTAACACACGCGATGACCCTTTCTGCAATAAAATCAATCATTTCTTCATTTCATAACACTCCAAGTGAACTATGATAAACATAACTATATGATTTTCATAATGATCATGTGTGTATGTAGCTGCAGACTACTATCATAGTGACATTAGACAAGCTTCAATTATTCTCATTAAACAAGCATTTCCTTTCACTAAACAAGCATTTCCTTGTTTTAACTTTTAAATAAGAAAATTAATATGCTATAGCAAATTATTATTTCATTTTTTCCTTGTGACCAATGTTACACAATAATACATAAACTTAATTACTTAAATAATGAAAAAGAAAAACCAAATCAATAATCCTACAAAAATAAAAGAAAAGAAAAGAAAATATTAGGTACCCTTAGCAAAGATGTCAACTTTGCCTGAATGATGGTAAGCCTTAAAAGGTACAATTCTAACGGAATATTGAAGGGATTGAAATGGATCGTCCATTAACTTGATAAACCAAAACTGCAATCTAGCTAGTAGATTGCTTTAATATGGATTATTAATTTTGTGATTTTTTATCACTGAGATTTCTTACATATAAATATGGTGTGTTTTTTCGGTTACTTCCTTTACATTATTGATTGATGGTTTGGGTGAATTTATGATCATAGTTGTTAAATAACTCAAAATTTTAAGAAAGAATACTTATTTTAAAAGCTAAATGTAACTTGTTGGGATTCGTTTTTCACATCTACACCCACCCATTAGATGTTGGATTTTTTTTTCATTTGAAGTTCGGATTTAAGTAGTGTGTGGAAGGACTTCTTGATACCTCGAGGTGAAACAAATTACATATCACCAGCTGATTTAAGGGTACTTATACTCCGCTTAATGTACATTCGTGAAGCTCTTAATTTGCCTTAATGCATGAGAAATGAGAATTCTTGTAACAAAAAGTTTGAATGTGCATTCTACACCCTTGTATACTTTCTCGTTACAAAGATGCCGATTTAGGTAGTGTTTGGATGAGCCTTTGCAAAGGCAATGTGGTGGAAGTTTTGGGACCTCCCAACATCAAACAATGGTAAGTCTGATATTTTTGGTGCTCGAAAGCTTCAATGTAATTTGAGTTCCAAATTCAATTTTTGGATACTTGTAATATACCTGGGAATTTCTTCCGATCATTCCACTACATTTAATTACGAAAAATTAACAATAAGTTTTAATTGTCATCTTCGAATACTCAAATTGATATTAAGAAAAATTGATCAAAAATCACTATTCACAAAACTACAACTATTTATAGAGGAAACCTTATAAATTTACCATTACGAAAAATTAATAATAAATTTTAGGGTTAAGTGCATTAAACCCCCCTGAACTTTCTTCTTTTTTCTAAAAAACCCTCTAAACTATCATTTAGACACTTAACCCCTAAACTATTCATTTTGTTGCAAAATTTCCCATTTCATTAATCTTCTGTATAATTGCTAACGGACACAAGTCAGGTGGACAAACAATTTTTTGAAAAATATAATTTTACCCTTTATGACCCGTTAACAAAGGTCAACCCGTTTAACCCATTTTTCTCTTTCCATCTTCAATACAGATACGCTGTACTTGGAACCTTCCATGGTTGTATCATTGTAAATCAAATTGCATTTTAATAGTATTAAGAAAGATCTAATATTTAGTAAAAATAAATAAACGAGAAAAGCCAAAATCCAATCTCTTTGAGTTAGCATCCCCCTCTCTGTCTCATTATATATACACATATAATACATTTAGGCTCTGTTCTTCATCACCTTCCTCTGAACCCACTTCCCACTCCGACATTATCCTCGTCTCTCGCATCCTCACCCGCCTCTTTTGTATTCAATCATCTTCGCTTTTACTCCCATCTTCCAATCCAACTCCAAAATAAAAATATTGGATTTTTTTTTTTTAAATTCACAAAAATTTATAGAAAATTTCAAGAATTGGTTTGAATTTTGGATCAAAAGTCAGACTTCTGGAGTGTGAATAAAGGGTGTTTAGAGAATTTTTAGTTAGGGTTTTACAGAATAGGATTGATCGTGATTCAGATGAAGAATTATTGTGTGTGGTAATTGGAAAGAGTAATAAATTTGTGTTGTCGATTTTCTATTGGCTGTGGAGACACCAGGGGCCACATTAACGTTTGAAACTTAAAACACAATGAAATGTCGTCATTCTATTATGGGCAAAAAGGTAAATGTCATTTTTTTTTTTTTTTGTTAAACGTTGGTTGACGGGATTGTCCTTATTTGCAACAATATTATAGTTTAGAGGTTATTTTTAGTTCAGATGAATTTATTGCAATTGGCTCAAGGTTTAGGGAGATTTTATGCACTTAACCCTAAGTTTTAAATCACCAAATTAGAGGACCCACCAAAAGTGGGAACATTTGACTCTGAATTGACCCTAAACAAAAATTACTTGAAATTAGGTGACTATAAAAAAAATTAGTTAAAATCAATTGAGACTGCCTAATTTGGAATTTCAAAATAGCTCAAATATTCTAGAGCTTGTTTCATGTTTTTCGTTCAATCTTATAGGTCTTGTGAACCTGAACTTTGAACTAAATTGCAATAGTTTTGGAACCTTGACTTCTCAATCTCCATGTCTCTAACGTCACTTGTTCGGTATCAAAATGCCTTCTCCTTGAAGGGCTCCTCCAAACACTACCTTGCCTTAATCAATGAACAACAAAGACAAAAACTGGAACCTTCTGCTATATTGTTCAACATTTTTGTATCCAGATTACACAAAATTGGACAACATTACAAAAAAAAAAAAAAAATGGGGGCTTAAAACTAAATTTCCCTAAATTTCAATAATATTAATAATAAAAAAATCCAATTCCATATTTCCACCACAACATAAATAATAGTTTGTTATGGTTGGATTAAATACAACACATGTAACAATATATGTAATATGTGGGTATTGATAATCAAGTAATATTTTAATGAAACTTAATTATGCACTTGTGTATTTTGTACATCAAGTAATCTTTTAATGTAATTTAATTATGCACCTGTGTTGCACTTTCTATGTTTTTTAGTTTTTAAAAAAAATTCCCTTTACCTAAGGAATTTGCTATCGCATTTACTTTCACGTTACTTTCTTTAACCTGCCTGTGGCATTCACATCAGAACTGGCCACAAAAACGCTAAATCTTCATTGAGAAGTTGAAGAAGATAATCAATCTATACTATCATAACAAACTCAGGATAAGTCATAATCTTCGGAATTTGTGTAAGTATTACCTTGTTTTAATTTTTAAATAAGAAAATCAATATGCTATAACAAATTATTATTATTTTTTTTAACCAATGTAACATAATATACAACAACTTAAATCACTTACAAAAGGGAAAAAGAAAAAACAAATCAGTTATCCTTAAAAAATAAAATAAAAGAAAATATTAGGTGACTGTTCAAGAAAGTATTAATGATCTCAATTTTGCAAGGACTCTTTTCTCTCTCTCTCTCTCTCTCTCTCGCTAGATAATCTCCTACCCAACGACTATCCAGGAAAGTTCAAGAAATCTGAATATTGGGGATGTGTGCTATTTTCCAATAATCCCCACCCTGTTTGTGTGGATCCAATCTCATATTCAAGAGCTCAAGGGATTTAAGGTTGGTTAGATTTTCAATGCCAGTGGGTACCTCTTCCACCAACTCACAGTTCCCAATAGTTAGCTTTTCAAGATGAGGCAATGATCCCTTCTCCATTCTCACCCACCTCAATCCTTCTAAGCTGTAAAGCTCCAATATCTTAAGCTTCTGAAACCCTGTCGATTTGATACACATATCCTCCCCTCGGTAAGCCTTAAAAAGTACAATTTCCAACAGAATGGGTAAATCTTGAAGGGATTGCAATGGATCATCTGTTAACCTGCTATACCCAAGCCGCAATCTCACCAGGTTATGAAGAGAAGTAATCCAATGCGGCAAATTTTCTAAACGTCCCCTCAAATAGAGCCGTTGAAGAGACCGAGGAGGAGAAGGCAATTGTTGTATATCAATAATCTCTTTCGTTTCTACAGAACCTACGTTCAATGATTGAAGGTTACTCAACTTTTCAATAGAGGAGCACAAAGCCTTCCCATCCTCCCTTCTTAACTCCCTAGCCCCCAATCTCCTCAGCTGGGTTAGTCTCCCCAGCTCTCCCATTACAATTCTACTATTGTCATGGTTCGCTTCAATATAACTAAGTTTTTGTAAGGAAGACAAGCCTTCTATTCCCACTATTGTTTTAAAGCCATTTATATAAAAAAATTTGTAGCGGTACACCAAGAGATGACGAAGACGCTGGAGCTTTAAGATAGCCTTCAGCAACATCAGCAACTTCTTCCATTGTCATTCCCCCTATCTCTTTCACAAATCCTTCTGCGATCCACAGTCGAATCACTCTCATGCGCTCAATCTCGTAATCCTCAGGGAATAAACCCAAGTACAAGAAGCATATTTTTAGATAGTAAGGCAAATCATAGTAACTCAGAGAGAGTATATTTTTCATACTCTCAAGTTTGTCGTGGACTTCTAACTGAGCATCACCAAGCCTGCGGTAAAACAATTCCCAATCATGCACTCTACTTTTGTCTTTCGTAGCCAAAACACCACTAATTGCCACAACCGCAAGTGGCAAGCCCTCACACTTTTGTAAGATACTTCATGAGAGTTCCTCTAAATGTTGAGGGCAGTGGTTGCCTTGGAATGTCTTCCTACAGAACAGAGTCCAAGACTCTTTTGGGGACAGTGGTTTCGTAGTATAGTTGTGATCAAGAGATTCTACGCAAGACGTAGAAGCTACACCAACAATACGGGTCGTGAGCAGTATTCGGCTGCCACTATTGTTGTCAGGGAATGCATATTTCAAAGCATCCCATGCATTTATGCTCCAGACATCATCTAAAACAAGCACGTACCTTCTCTGTTGGAGGAAATCTTTGATTTTTGCTTTCAAGTCATTGATGTCCATGGTTTCCAAACTTTGAGGGGCCTGTTGCTTGGCTTCATCGAAGAGTCTTCGAACTACGTCTTTGAGAAGCTCTCTGAGATGAAATGATTGAGAAACAGTGATCCAAGCATGACATTGGAAACGATTCTTCACCCCCATATCATCATAGGCTTTCTTTACTAGGGTGGTTTTTCCCATACCCCCCATCCCCACCACCGAAACGACTCTGAGTCTTGGACTGTCATCCAGAAGCCACCCAATCAGGTGTTTCTTGGGCCCATCAAGCTCAGCCTCTTCCAGTAGAAGTGCATCACCTCGACGATCATACCATGTGTTGTCAACGGTGGAGCTTGATCCATGCTCTGAGATACTAAATCCATCACGGTATCTTTGATGTATATTTTCGACTCTGGACTTTATTTTACGTATCTCAGAACCAATCCGATGGCGAGCTTTCAAGTTCTTAATAGAAAAAGAAATCTTACCAAGAAAACCATAGAATCCATCCCCATGATGATAACGTGCGAAGCGGAGCATGAATTCGTCAAGCACATCTTCGGTGTCATGGGCAACATCACGAACTTTCTCAACCCATGCTTGGAGCTGTGGGTCAATATCTTGTTTTTCATCAGCTACTCTGAGGAAAGCCCTCATGCTCACCAATTCATCTCTGATGGACTCAGCTTCTTCCCTTATTCCTCCCAAGAGGCTTGACTCTTGTTGAATGAAGATGGTCAAGTGATTGAGCAGAAATTCTACTACGCTCTCAGCCATTCTATCAAGAGAACAAAAGATCGATTGAGAAGGAATTTCCAACAATTTCCCAATTGTGTGGGAAGACTTTCTTTGGAATAGAAAGTGGAAAGGGCACCGAGTCTGAAAGACAACTATGACAAAAGACAGCTTTGTGAAAGAAAAAGCAAGAGGATGAAGCTGACTGAAATGTATTTAATTAAATGATGAAGTGTAGTAGTGGTAATTACTAAATGAGCCCTTCTATAACTCAATTAGCATAAAATTTGGACAATCTTGATAAGACATTGTTTGGACAATTGATTTAGAGCAGTGGGACTAATTTCATGGTTTTGTGTCGGTAGAAGTAGATGGATCGGATCGTGGGGACCAGCAATTGGTGATTTTGAGCTGGAATCAATTTTAAGTGGATGATAACCTATCAATTCCATTGTACAAAAACATTGAAACCTTGATTACACCGTAACTGATTCAAAAAAATATTGCTTTGAATTTATTTTTCTCAAAACTCGATTAATAAAGACATTATATCAAATAATTGTCTTCTATGATTATTAATCATTGCATAACAGTTTTTATTTTTTGAATTTTTGGAAACAAATTTTTAGAAACTCAACCAAGACTATGCATTTAAATAAACATGATTAAGAAGGCTAAGCATTAAATTTGTCTATATGGGTGGTCGTGACTTGTGAGAAAATATTCTTCAACCTCCCAAAATGATTGACGATAGTTCGAAAAATTATACACGCTGATTGAAGTAGTACGCGAATCACAAAAACAAACAGTGGACCTCTATAGCTTAACATCGCTTAGGACTAGAGATTGCATTAGAATTGCTGAGTACTTGCCAAGTGTCGGCAGAACACCTATAAAACAACTGTTTTTCATCTTGAGCTCCAACGTAAAATATTTATTTTTCTTTTATATATATTTTTTTATATTTTGTAAAGACTTAGGTCGAAGTTCCGATCGAGTCTATCGAATAGAGCATATAAAATAATTTGTTAAAAATTAATAAATAAATTATTTTAATTAAATTTTAATATTTTTTTATTCGTAAATATTTTACGACAACTAAACACTTTCCAAACAAAAAATAACACCTTGATGATTACCAAACATGCACAACACTGTCAATGCGAGATATCACACATAATGATAGGTTTGAAATCAGACCTCTAATCAAATGGCCGATACCTATCTTTTTTTCTTCTTTTTTTTTTTGTACGAAATATCTAGCTTAATTAACATTACTAAGGACAATCACTCAATCAGTGTTTTGAATTGGGTGGACAATTGCTTTAGACTGGACTAATATCATCAACTTGTGCCATTGAAAATAGATGGATTGGGACCAATTTGTGTAGGTGGAAATAGATGATTTTGGAATTCTGAGAGCACACCAATGTTGACCCAGCACTCTCACACTATCTTTCGTCTTGAGTTACAATAACACCCTTTTACAATACCAAATTATCAATCAACATGCACATGATGAACGACGCAGGTGATCCTTCCTGTATTTGAAGCAGTCACGTGTGTGAGTGATTGCAACTGGTCCTAATAATTATAATTTAATAATTATTTTTTCAAATATCACAACTATACTTTTCAGTTATGATAATTGATAAGAGCTTTTTGTAATCCCTTTTTTAAATTAACATTTTTGAATTTTTTTTATATTTTTTGTTAACCCCTCTTTTTCTCTCTCTTCCTGTCCCTCAACTCTTTCTATACTTTGTATAAACTTTCTTTTCTCTCTCTTATTAGGGTTTGAAATTGTTCTTTGTAAATAATAATACAAGATCCCACAACTGAAGAAATAATAGAATTGAACGATGTAACTCATCTTGTTAGTATGGAAAACATTGAATAACAATTAAAACTTCATGAACCTTTAAACTCCTTGATAATAGTAATGGAAATGGTAAACTTTGAGTTTAAGTTTAGAATTTTTTTCCCCATGCGATTAATAATGTTTAATTTGGAAGATGATGCGAATGGAATTTTATTTTTAATTTTTCTTTTCTATTTTATACTTTGAATTTTTTTTATGTGATTTTTAAAAACTAATTTGGAATTTCTTTGAATCTTTAATTTCACCTTGTTGATAAATAAAATTACAAGAACATGAATTTTGTGGAAAAAAAAAAAAAATGGTATTGATATACAGTTATGAATTTTGTTGAAAAGTTATTACACTCTCAGCCATTCTCTCTTATCTTCTTAATTTCAATAGCCAAACTCTCCAATCTCTCGGTATGAAAGTTAATAAAAAGAGGAGAAAAATCAGCTTAAAGCAAGAGTATGAATCTGTCATATATTTATATGAAATTCAGGAGAAAAGTTAAATACCACACAATTAAAGTCTAGTCTAGTCCGTTAGTGCCATTATCATCTTTTGGGCTTACAATGTCCTTCGACGTTGCAATCAAGTTGAAGATGAGAATTAGTAAGAAATTTGCCAGTCGGTTGGATGGAAATTTGAAGATGACAATTAGCAGCCTCCCTCTCTGACACCGACTTTTTTCTTTTTCTTTTTTTTTTTTTTTTTTTTTTTTTTTTTTTTTTGATTTTTTTTCATCATGACTATTCTATTCAATTGTTTTTCATCCCTTAAATTTTTACTATCAATTAACATGCATAAGATGATAGCTTCAAATCGGATGGTTCAATTTTTTTAATTATTTTTCTCAAATTTTATCAATTTTAATTTGAGGAGGCCCGAGATGACATGGGCCGGATATGACTTGCAAATGCGACATCCGGTCCGTACAGATGGGTCAGGCCCATAGAAAGACACTGCCATATGGGACGAACGCGAATAAGCCCATCAAAGATGACCAGGACTCATGGAGGAACGGGCCTAGATCCAGCAGTCCATCAACATTTGTAAATATCTATAAATAGGAGAAGTAATGGAAAGAAGGGGGAGATATTTTTTTGGTTGAAATATAAGAATTCTAGAGAGAGAAAGAGGGAAGGAATTTCTTGTATCTTCAATTGGCGCCGTCTGTGGGAATCATGGAAGATTGGTTGATCAATGATTAATATCACGTGGATTCAGACCAATTCGGGTGATCGAGACTCGATCTTTGGGAGTTGGATCCAAATCTGAGCGATTGTGACCTACTCTGGAGGAATTTTAGTTCCTGTAGCTTTGGCAGAAGTGGCTTCAGATCTACGCAACAACGAGTTGTTCGATTGTGGCAGGATCTGACGGATTTAGAATTCGGACAATTCAGATCTCGTCAACCGTGAGCATAATTCGGAGAATTCGAAACCAGATCTGAAAAATTCCCACTCACGAAGCTCGGATCTACTCGCGAACTTGAGATTAATGCCTTTACTCCGTTCAGGAATAATGATAGGTGAAAGCTCCAATCCGATGGAGGCTGTCCAGCAAACAAAGCTTGAGGAGTTGATGAACTTGATCGAGGCTCTCAAAAAAGAGAATGCAGAATTGAAAGCTGGAATGCAACATCAGCAAATGCCCGCGGTTTCGCGTCCACCTCCGGCCGGAGAAGGAGGTGTTCAATCTAATATCGCGCATCAAGGCGAGCAGGACGAGAACAGTCAGTCAGCTCTCCACCGTGATGAAAGAAGGATGGATGATTTGCCGCCAAATGCTCGTCGAGTTGAGGATCACGAAGGATCGACTCACGTTGATCCGCGACATGAGCAGATCAGACAGAACGAAGCCATGACCTTAGATCCGCATCGGGAAAGGTTCAACCGAGAGGAGGTGATAGAGGTTGATCGCCGCCAAGTTGCGTCGCCTTGGCAAAGAGAGCATGAAGCGCTCCGATCCGCAGCTCGAACGGTTGATTCACCATTCACTGACGAGATCCTGAATGCCCCGCATCCAAGGAAGTTTGCTATGCCAGTATTTATTCTGTTTGACGGAACAACCGATCCGATCGATCATGTGTACCATATCCAGTTGAAGATGGCCCTGAATACGGAAAACGACGCTTTAATGTGCAAATGTTTCCCTACAAGCCTAGCTGGACCGGCGCTCAGCTGGTTCAAGAACTTGCCTAAGAGCTCCATTGGTAGCTTCCGAGATCTGTGCGATCGGTTCATAAGTCAGTACTATGGGAACAAGCGTCCGCCAAAGGACATCTCAAGCCTATTCACAATGAGACAGCACAAAGATGAACGTCTCCAGGCTTTTCTCACCAGGTTTAATCTCACTAAGAGTATGGTGATCGAATGCCACCCTTCTACAGCGGTTCAAGCCTTCAAGTTAGCCATGACACGTGGCACTCCGTTCCATACCAGTCTGGTAGTGAACACGCCGACGACTATGGATGAACTCAATGAAAGAGCCGACGGCTTTGTGCGCCTAGAAGAAGAGGAGGCAGCCAATGCTCGGACAGCGTCGCTCGTGTCGACCAAGGAAAAGTCCAAGGTAAAGATCAGGCAGAAGCAGGCTCAGCCGCAGCGTCAGACCTCCTGGAAGGCAGAAAAGAGGTCCAGGGAGGAAGAGCTGATCACTCCGCTGAAGGTCACTCTGGCGAGGCTATATCAGGAGAACAAAGATAAGTTTCATCCACCACTGCCAATTAGGCAACCCCTCGAACAGAGGGATCAGACTAAACATTGTGCTTTCCATTCCGATTTCGGTCATTAGACTAATGAATGCAGGAATTTGAGAAGGCAAGTGGAGATGTTGATAGCTAGAGGGGAGTTCGCGGGTTATGTTCAAGGCTCGGCGACAAAGCAGAATCGACCGATGGAACAAGTAAAAAGGAGCCATAAACAAAGCTCCCACAATTCACAACCAGTTCGTATAATCAATGCTATCCACGGTCGACCCGAGCCCAGCGAAGATTCAGATGAGCTGCTCCGAGCGCGCCTACGGCAGGCGCAGATGAAGAAAAGGGTCAGCAGTGTGAATACTCTACACCAGTAGATCACATCGATACAGATAAAGTTCGACAGGACAGACCTGCAGCGTGTTCAAATCCCCCATGAAGACCCGTTGGTAGTCAGTTTGACAGTGGCGGACTGCC